AGCTGAAAAACTGAAGGAAGAATTCAAGCCTCAAGTTGTAATATTGAAGGATCTTATGGGCAAAATACTTAATGATACAGAAAGCAGGGAAGACAATGGAAGGAAAACACAGAGTTAATGTACCATAAAGAATTGGTTAACATTAAATCATTTTATGAAGTAGCATATGAGCAAAAATGATGGTACTAAAGGAAGAAGTCCAATGTACTGAAGGCATTGGCTGAAAACAAGCCTCCAGAACTGGCAGCATACTAATTGAGATGTTTGAACAAATGGATTCACTCTGGAATTGCTCATTCATCTATAACAAGAAATTCAGAAGACAGGTGCCTGACCAACAGAATGGAAGAGATTCATGTTTGTGTCCATCCCAAAGAAAGGTGATCCAACAAAATGTGGACATTATTGAACAATATCATTAATATCATACATAAGTAAAATTTTGTTAAAGATAATTCAAAAGTAGTTGCAGCAGTAATAGGGAACTATCAGAAATTCAAGTTGGAATCAGATGACAACATGGAATGAGGGATAACATTGCTGTTGTCAGATGAATCTGTGTTGAAAAATGGGATACCAAGAAGATGCTTACCTATACTTTATTGACTATGCAAAGGCATTTGACTGTGTGGATCTTAACAAATTATGGATAACATTGTGAAGAATGGGAATTCTAGAATACTTAATAGACCAAGAGTCATTTGTTGTAATAGAACAAAGGGATATTATATGGTTTAAAATCAGGAAAGGTGTGTGTCAGGGTTATATCCTTTCACCACACTTATTCAATCTTATGTTGACCAATAATCCAAGAAGCTGGACAATATAAAGAAGAAAGCATCACCAGGATTGGTAGAAAACTCACTAAACAACCTGCAATATGCAGATGACACAACCTTGCTTGCTGAAATTGAAGAAGACTTGAAGTACTTACTGATGAAGATCAAACACTCCAGCCTTCATTATGGATTACACCTCAATATAAAGAAAACAAAAATCCACATAACTGAGCCGATAAGTAAAAGCATGATAAATGGAGAAATGGTTGAAGTTGTCAAGCATATCATTTCACTTGGACACACAATCAATGCTGATGTTACCAGCAGCCAAGAAATTAAATGACATATTGCATTATGCATCTACTGCAAAAGACATTTTTAAAATGTTAAAGAACAAAAATGTCACTCAGAAGACTAAGGTGTGCCTGGACCAAGCCACAGCATTTTCAATCACTCCATGTGCATGTGAAAACTGGAGATTGAATAAGAAAGACAGAAGGAGATCTGATGCATTTGAGTTGTGGTGGTCTTGAAAAATACTGAAAATACCATGGATTGCTAGAAGAACTAACAAATCCATCTTAGGATAAGTGTAGCCGGAATGCTCCTTAGAGGCAAGAATGGTCAGACTGCTAGACTTCATCTCTTGTACTTTGGTCATGCTGTCAGAAGGAACACACCGGAAAAGGATCATCACGCTTAGTAAAGTAAAGGGTGAGCAAAAAAAGGGGAAGACTCTCAATGAGATGGATTGACATGGTGGCTGCAATAAGGGGCTCAAGCATAGTAATGATTGTGAGGACAGTGCAGGGCTGGGTAGTATTTTGTTCTGTGTACACAGAGTCACTATGAATCAGAACTCACTCAACGGCAACTAACAACATTGCTTTGGCTATTGGGGCTTTTCTCCTTTCCATATGATGTTAGTAATTATTTTTTCCATTTCATAAAGAATGTTGGGATTTGTATTGGGATTGCATTTTATCTGTAGATTGCTTTAGGTAAAACTGACATTAAGTCTCCCATTCCATACACAAAGGATGCTGTTCTATTTTTGTAGGTCTCTGTTAGTCTCTTGTAGTAGCTTTTTATAGTTTTCACTGAATAAGTCTTTTATATCCCTAGCTAGGTTAATTCCTAGGTATTTTATCGATTTGGGAGCTACTGTAAATATTACTGTTTTCCTGATGTGTTTTTTTCAGTGTACTCTTCGTTAGCACAGAGGAACTGAACTGATTTCATGTTGGCCTTGTAATCTTGCAACATTGCTAAATTTTTCTATTAGTTCCAGCAGTTTTCACGTGGAATCTTTTTGATGTTCTATATATAGGATTCAAATTTGTGCCCATTGAAAGAAAGGTGATCTAACAAAATGGAGAAAATATAGAACAGTATCATTAATATCACATACAAGTAAGATTTTGCTGAAAATAAATAAAAAACTGTTGCAGCACTATATCAACAAGGATCTGCCAGAAATTCAAGTCAGATTCCAAAGAAGTTGTGGAAGGAGGGATAACATTGCTGATGTCAGATGGATGTTCACTGAAAGAAAAGAACACCAGAAAGATGTTTACCTTAATTTAATGACTACGCAAAGGCATTATATGGATTATAACAAATTATGGATAACACTGCAAACAATGAGAACTCCAGAACACGTAATTGTATGCATGAGGAACCTGTATATAGACCAAGAGGAAGTTGTTTTAATAGAATTAAGGGGATGCTTTATGGTTTAAGATCAGGAATGGTGTGTGTCAGAGTTGTATCCTTCTGCTACACTTATTCAATCTGTATGATGAGTAAATAAATTGAGAAACTGGACTATATGAAGAAGAGTGCATTATGAAGATTGGTGGAAGACTCACTAACAACTTGCAATATGCAAGTGACACACGTTTGCTTACTGAAATTGAAGAAGACTTGAAGCACTTACTGACAAAGATCAAAGACTACAGACTTCTGTATGGACCGCACCTTGACATAAAGAAAGCAAAAATCCTTACAACTGGACCAATAAGCAATTTCATGATAAACTGAGAAAAGACTGAAAGTGTTAAGCACTTCCTTTTACTAGGATCCACAATCAACACCCAGGGAAGCAACAAGAAATAAAACAACATATTGCATAGGGCAAATCTGCTACAAAAGACTTTTTTTTTTAAAGTGTTAAAGAGCAAAGATGTCACTTTGAAGTCTAAGGTGAACTTGAACCATATCATACTATTTTCAATAGCCTCATATGCATGTAAAGCTGGACAGTGAATAAGAAGGACCAAGGAAACATTCTTGCTTATTTGGATTATGGCATTGGCAAAGAATATTGAATATACCATGGCCTGCCAGAAAAAGAAACAAATCTGTCTGGAATAGATACAGCCCCAGAATGTTCCTTAGAAGTGAAAATGACCAGACTTCGTCACATGTCCTTTGGTCATGTTGTCAAGAGGGAGCAGTCCCTGGAGAAAGATATCATGCTTGGTAAAACAGTGGGTCAGTGAAAAAGAAGAAATCCTCCCTGGGCAAAAGCCATCTTCCCAAACCCACATGCTTGACCACTATAATGTATCCATACCCTGCTGATGCCACTCTTCACCCCACAGGTCTGTTTATCACTTGGCTGCCAGTCAAGTCATGGGGGTTAAGTTCAGTTTCTAGCCTGAAGGACATCCAAGGGCCACAGTTCTGAGTGTCCCAGGGATAGAGCTGGGAGGGTGGGAGGGGATGGGGAGGAAGAATGAAGGGAAGGGGTGGGTATAGGGAGGAAGTGGGAGAAGTGCTGTTGCATGCAGGGATTGCAGTGAATATCACAGGGCAAAATGTGTATGGATTACTGAATGGAAAACCAATTTGCTCTGTAAAGTTGTATCCAAATCACAATGAAAGAAATAAAGAAACAAGGCAAAAAAAAAAAAAAAAGAAAGAAGAAAAAATTTTAGTACCTAAGGCATTTGACTGCTAACAAGAAGGCTGGCGGTTCAAACCCACCAGCCATTCCTTGGAAGGAAGATGGGGCAATCTACTTCCGTAGTGATACTGCCCTAGAAACTCAAGGAGGGGTTGCTATGAGTCAACATCAACAATGGCAGTGAGTCTGGTTTGGTTTTATTAATAACAGCTACATCTTCCTCAAATTAGCTATCTTTCTGTGTTCCCTGTTCAGGGTATTACGTAGCACGATGCCAAAATGGTTGGGATGAGAGAGTACTCCTGATGTTAGCAGGTTAGTAGTGCTCCCAGCTTCAATGCCATTCCTCTTGCTCCTTTTCCATGCTTCTGGACTCACCTGACTCTCTAACACCTCAGCTGCCATTTGGAATTCTGAGATTTCAGTCTGTGCTTGTTTTTATAAGGTTTTCAGTTGGTTAGTTGCTGGTAGAATAAATGGGAACACCCACTCACTTTTCTATCTTGGTATATCCCTTATGTTTTATTTGTTAATGATTCAATTTATATCAGAAGGTTTATACAAGAAGTTTCTTTTCCTCACTAATGTATTTACAAATGTGTAAAATAAACTATGTCCTTTAAAAAAGAGGCTGCCCAACTTCACAGATTTGTAATTGAGGTATTTTAATGCCAAGTAAACATCATATGCTATAGCTGTTTCTAAAATCATTATGAACCACATGAGGAACATGAGGCCAATAAAAAATAAAATCCACAAATTATGTTTTTAGTCACAGCTCAACCATCACGAGTCTAGGGAAGCTTGGCAATTTAAGAGGTGATATATGCACGTCGTTATAAGTCACTAACAATCACATAGAACAGACACATGGCACACAGGAGCACAGACTTTTGATTTTGTCCATGAAGATGTGCCAGGACACACCAGAACGCACTGTCATATGGGCAAGTGTGTCAGTCCCACTGCCTTGGTATATGTCCTTTAACTCTTCTACTGCTCCTTGCAAAACCACTCATCCCTGGCAGTTTTACTTCTACTTTCTCTTCCCAATACCATTTTCTCTTTTCCAATTATCCACAAGGGGTGAAGAGGAATAAGATGTAAAAAAAAAAAAAAATAAAGTGTTCCTAGTCCCCTTTCTCTATCAAAAGCAAAAATGATCAGCTGTTTTTCTTTAGGATCCTTAACTGTTCTTAATCATAGTTTTGTAAATATATAGAGCTACTGAAAAATAAATTAATTTGTACCAACTTAGCTGGCTGGAGTTTTCTGCAATGGTTACAAGGTTTCCACGTTACCCGCCTTACCTTGGCTTTCCCATCCTGTGCTGACATATATCCAACACACATGCTCTCTGTCGTGTGGCTCCACAGAAATTCCACTGCCATGGAAGAGAAAACAAATAAGCACATTCAGATCACAGATGGAAAATAAATTTTTGTTTTTAATAGAACAGTTAAAGATAGCTTTATATTTAACACACTCATTTCCCCACTTTCCATTTGCTCCTTCATAAATGTCAAGATGATTTACTACTCAAAACTGTGAAATGCCATTTACTGTAAAATGAAAAATATATTTATTTCTTGTCATAACTTATGAATATTACATGTAAAATAAATGCTCTTCTGTTTGAAACTTGTAACATTAAACACACACATACATTCACAAACGTAGTACACAATGATTTAGCAAATATAAGGTTCTATAGCATAGTTTCCTTTAAAACATACCCCCTACCCCTAGGTCTTGATTTCAAAATACCATTCTCCATGAAAAGAAACCAAGATTCCTTGGAGAAATGTCAATTCCAGGGCTAGGGCAGAGAATAATACCAAATGAGTATGGAACATCTTGTTGTGCCAAAACGTGAAGAAGTGCTCAAGGAATGGTGGAGATTTATCAAAAAGACCCAGGGTCAGTGAAAGCGCTCTCACTGGCCAAATCTGTGTTAATCTGAAAATCAAAATAAATTGTGATAGCAATAAATTATAAACACTGAGCAAAATAAGAACATGAGTCCACTAGTGGAAGAAAATTTGAAAAAGAATTGGCTTAAAGTATCTGTCCATAAACTTTATTCAACATAAAGGGGGAAATATAACTTCATTACGGAGAAAGCTGATGGACTCCAACTAACCAAATGATCAATGCTAACATCACCCAAAAGAGACAGACTGATACTAGGTGCCTCCTGATAAGACTCCCAGAGACACATCACTTATGATGTCTTCCAGTCAAAAACGGCAAACTGAGTAAGAAAACATCAACCAAATTCAACATGGATTAATCTACTAAATAAATGGCTTGAACTCTTCAAAATGTCAAGGTCAAGAAAACACACAGAAAGCTGAGAAACTGTTCCTGTTTAATGGAGACAAAGAAAACATGGCCACTAAATGCAATATATAATGCTAAATTGAATCCTGGACTGGGAGGGAGAGCATGTTATGAAAGACATTATTGAGAAAATTGGTGGAGTTTGAAAATAGACAATGGATTAGATAATAATATTGTATCAGTGTTAAATTTTCATTTTAAAAACCTTTCTGTGGGAGAGTTCCGGTATGATGTCAGACTGGGCAGAAAGACTGCACAGACCCTCTTCAACAAAGAAAAGAGAAACCAATTAACACAGGTACAGAAGATAATCCTGGACCCTGGAGCCCTGAAGGGAAGGATATAGAAGTAGACTAAATGCAAACAAGGAGAAGAATTTTCATGAAAATACTAAAAAAGGAGACATACAGAGCTACAATCTGGCAGCAATCCTGAGTGATCCTGATAGCACAGACAGCTTGGAGAGTGCCGAATGGTGGTAGGACCTAAGAATTAACCTAAAAATCAGACCTCCTAGCCAGGGACTGCGTAGAGGACTGCTCTGGCGGCTCTGGAATAAACGGAGAAGACTAAGAGAAAGGCGGACTGAGCTGTGGACTTTTCCCTGTCCAGAGGATGCTGCCACTTTGAATGTTTACAAGCAGTTTGACCATTTTGGATATTTAAAGAGACAGTGCTCTCCCAGATTCCAGGGGCTTAAGAACATGTTCTGCTTGCCAGCAACCCCAACAACACTCTGGACCTGCATGACTGAAAAGGTGCGACATTCCTCTTATTACTCTTAAACCCCCCACCCGCTTGCTGAAGGGAGGTGCAGTCATCCCCCACTCCCACTCACCTTCTGGGCCTGCAGGAACTCTATCGCACTCTCTGTGCTCAGACAGAGCCTGGGTGCCCTGCCCTGTCCTCTGCCAATTTTTTTTTCTCTTTTGTTATTTTCATTTTTTTTTCTTCTTCACTTTCTTTCTTCAGGTGTTCAGTTTGCTTGTATTTGTCTGTTTTAAAACTACTATTATAATTAACACTTTTGTGCTTTTTACTATTATTCTTTAGTCTTCCCCTCCCAGGTCCTAGTTTTCAGCTTTTTTTTCACTTCCTGTTCCTGGTTGAAAAAAATTTTTTTCTTTAAATTTATTTTGTCCCCCTTTTTTCTCATGGTTAACCCCATTCCTTGTTTTTCTTTTTGCATATCTCCCATTTTTATTTTCCTGCATTATTCTCCTTCTCTACCTTTTTTCTCTTAGTGCTCTATCCCCAGATATTGAAGGTTTTCTTGTTTTTTTCTTCTTCTTTTTCCCTTTGTTCTTTTTTTCGTAACTGTTCCTGTGTGATTACATGGTATGTATGTTGTCCATGTGCTTTTAGTTTTTTGATCATTATTCAATTGTGATTTTTGTCTAACTGAGTGGAGACAGCAACAGTCCCCATAAGACACAACTACATCCACACCTCCTCCAATTTCACTTAACTCAGCAAGACTAACTACCTCCTTCTACACCAATGGGCCAATGATAAAAAACCACTAACAAGAGCCTGAATCATCCTTGGTTGCTCTTTACAAACTGTTAACAGAGATCTAAATACAACAATGCACCAATGTCTTGGAGACAACAGACCATCACAGTCCACACAAAGAAACAGGATGCAGTGGTAGAAACAAGGGAGCAGGATACAGAACCAGAACAAATCCCTGATGAAGAAGCAGCATTGGAAATCTCCGATAAGGAATTCAAAAGAATTATATTTAGGTGTCTTCAAAGGATTGAGAGACAGACTAAAGAAAACACAGATAAAAACCTAGAAGAATTTTGGAAGAAAATACAAGAACAAAATGACAAAATAAATGAAAAATTAGAAATGATTCTAAATCTACAGATAGAAATCCAGAAGATTAATACTAAATTGTCAGAAATAGATAACACATTGGAAGGGCAAAGAGGTAGAATTGATGCAATGGAAGACAGAATTAATGAGATAGAAGACAAATACCTGAATGCTTCTTTGGAAAGGGATCAATCAGAAAAAAAAAAAAAAAAGAAAGAAAGAAAGAAAGCCTAAGGCTCATGTGTGATACCATCAAAAGGAATAACTTAAATGTCATTGGAATTCTAGAACAGGAGGAGAAAAATAAAACCACTGAGAAAATTGTCGAAGATTTGTTGGAGGAGAAATTCCCTTATATGATGAAAGATGAAAATATATCTATTCAGGAAGTCCAACGAACCACAAACAGCATAGACCCCAAAGAAAATCACCAAGACATATCATCATCAAATTCATCAAAACCAAAGACAAATACAGAATCCTAAAAGCAGCATGGGAAAAACAAAAAGTTACTTGGAAAGGTCAGCCACAAGGAATAAGCTCTGATTTCTCAACAGAAACCATGCAAGCAACAAGGAAATGGGATGGTATATATGAAACCCTGAAAAAGAAAAATTTTCAACCAAGAATTGTATGTTGTGCTGTTGTGTGCCACTGAGTCGGACCCGACTCATAACTACCCCTCCTTCGGTATCCGAGGCAGTATCACTATGGAAATAGATTGCCCAACCTTCCTTCCGAGGAGCGGCTGGTGGGTTTGAACCACCAGCCTTGTGGTTAGCAGTCAAGTGCCTCAGGCACTACACTACCAAAGCTCCTTCCAAGAATTTTATACCTGGCAAAATTGTCCCTCAAATGTGATGATGAAATTAGAAGATTTCCACATAAACAGAAACTAAGGGAATTTGTTACAACCAGACCAACCTTACAAGAGATACTAAAGGGAGTCCTTTGAGCAGAGAACCAAAAATAGCAAATAACAACCGACCATTAATACACAAGATAAAATAATCCAGAAACTACAGCTATGGACATATCTGAAGTAAATTGAGTTTACAAGATTGTAAACAGGGAACCAGAGACATCAATTGGCAAGTGAGGAAAACTACAAACAAAAAGAGGGAAAAGACTGTGTAGTTACAGAATTTCTGAATGGTGAGAAAGTAAAGAGAGTTGCAAGATAGAATGAACTGTTCTAAACTCGGGGATAAAATTATAAATCATAGGGTAACCTCAAAGAAAAATTATAAATGTTCACATCACAATAAAAAAGAGGACAAGCACAAATAATTGGCATATACTAAAACAACATCAACAAAGGAAATGATAATATGATTCATAAACATACTGAGCTCAGCACAGAAAATAATATGGAACAGAGAAACCAGGGAAACCATGAAAAAACATATAACAAAATGACAGCAACAAATTCATATGTGTCAAATAATTACACTGAATGTTAATGGATTAAATACATCACACAAGAGATGGAGAGTTGCAGACTGGATAAGAAAACAAAACCCATCAATATGCTGCCTACAAGAGACACACCTTAGAGATAAAGACAAAAATAGACTAAAAATTAAAGATTGGAAAAAGATATATCAAGCAAATGGCAACTGTAAGAGAGCAGGAGTGGCAATATTAAT